AAAATGATGTTCTTGAAGAAGTCTTTGCTCCAGCTCTTTGGGAAGAATGCGAAAAACGGTCACCTCCTTGTGATTATCGTACGCTGTGTGAGATTCCAGTCATGAAGGACATATGTAATGCAGGTAACTTAACGTAGCATATCTGTTCCCCTTAAATTTGAGGGAGAAATGCCATCTTAACTTTAAATGATTCCAGAGGCTTCATATCTGCGACGAGCAATCATAAGTGGTCATTACCAAGACGCTGCACACTACATCGATGTACAGTTTCGATTATTCCGAGAAGACTTAGTTAGTCCGCTCAGGGATGGGTTAGCTGTCTATAAACTGAACGGTAAGGTATCATTCCATTACCTCTTCAACACGCCGGCTGGACATATTAGGTTGTGACAAAGCAGTTCTAAATGTGATAAAAGTGTAATCTTATCACAGTTTTGACATTGCTTGCAATTTTTTTGCAGCAAATTTTAGCCTAAAACAATTCACCATAATTAACATCATATTATTTTATTTTTTATAATCTGCCCATATCTTCCTTATTATTATTATGTTATTATTATTATATTATGTTATCAGTATCATAGTAATATGGCGAAATGATATGCACTCTTAGCGAAAAGTGACGAACGTTTCAAACATGGTCTAAAGTTCCCCTCACGGCGGTCCAATACAAGAGACTGCTCACAGAGTTCCGTAAATATCTTTAATCAATCTTGAATGTTTTTTGGCTGTGGGAGTTTATTATCGCTTGCCACATACGCTTTACTAATGTATACGCTTCAAAAGGAGTGAATGCAATCGTTTCTGATCTTCATTGCCAATTTTGGCTCTTAGGAGAGTTAGCATTGCTTCCGTATCACTAGCTGCTTTTTAAGCGACAACGCGCTACCAAAAGTGGGTAGAAGATGACAGTCAGCCGTCTTCAGACCTAATAGTCTTCGAAGTTGAAGCTATAGAAGGAGTACAAGTCCGTCCCTCTGATGGCACTTTGTTCAGATATGCGAAACTTACGGTAACTCATTTTTATGCGAATGAAATTTCTTTGCACATACTATCTTATTTAGGACGCATCAAGAAATCACCCAGCTTTTGCACGAAATCTAATGTTTGGACAATGTGTTTGCCTTTCTTGCGATGATTTTCGAGAAGATTATCATCTTGCTAGAATTGTAGAGCGAGTAAGAAGCGCAATCAGAAGTGAAGTGAATAGAATAGAGTAAGCTAAATATAGTTGCTTGTAGGAGGATACAGGCATCCTTGCGTTCACCAGCATGGATGAGAACGACGCTATTGTGAAGAATCGGGTCTATCACGTAGCTGAACCACAGAGCTATCTGATAGCTTATCAGCACGTGCTGTTGTCATTGAAAGTTGGTAATTTAAGTTAAAATCTCACTTAGTTTATTTGATCCAGTATTCTAACAGGACTTCAGTCCCTGCAGCCCAATACCCTTTGAACGATACTTAGTGTATGGCAAATGCGATGTGAGGAAACCATTCTATATGAGAATCGACGAAGACGTAGAAGAAGTTCTGGACGACGCTGAAATTCGAGTAAGTTATACCTCAACAAATTTTACATTTTAACGGTTACTCATAACCGTAAAGCGCAGCTGTCTCGAACCCATTGGCATTGTTATTGCTTGTTAGACTAAATTACTCAGAAGTACTACGAAGATGTTCGAAAGGATATCAGAGCTAGTATCGCCAAGAATCCTGAAAGTTACGAGTGAGTTCATCGAAGCTTTTTCATCTTTTTATCTCAAATAGATTTACCTATATTTGTACTCTCAAAGTTACAGCTCCATTCAAAGTTTTGATT